GGTATACGTTAAAAAGTAGAAACATAAGGGATATAATATAAAAATATTAAAAAAGTTGAAGGTTTAAAGGTAAAAAATATTAAAAAGTTAAATATGAAAAATGAAAAATAAAAAATAAAAAAGTTGGATTTAATAAAAACACAAGGGATAAAATATAAAAATATTTCAAAAGTTGAAGGGTAAAAATTAAACTATTAAATGATTAAAAATGAAAAACTTCACCTTATTGTTCAGGATAAAAAAAAGGGTTGATATCTCCATCCCCCTTGTCATGCTTTCTACCTCCTGTGGTTTGTTTCCCCACTCACACAATCGCTCCCCTCACATACTTCTCCTCACACGATTCACTTTTAAAATTTAATTTTATACTTTATACCCCTATAATTAGTTAATTAATTTACTTTACGTCCCTCCCTTTTAAATTTTTCATTTTATACACTGATCAAATTAACATACATAATCGTATATCAATTAAAATATGTTTAAAAAATATATTTTAATTTTAACAAGTTACACCATTATGAACATCTCGTCAATACCTTCGAAATGAGCATATTGAATATTTTTTGACTTAATTATATTATTATATATTATATACTATGAAAAAATATTTTTAATATTTACACTTATAGTTATTTATTTAATTTATGATATGTCATTTGTTTTTTCAATTTTCGTTTTACATCATTATCACATTAAAATACATAATTTTATATTAACTAAAATACGTTTTAACATGTCACGTTAAATTCTATCTCATATAATCAAGTAACATGTCACATTATGAACAATAATATCGACATTTAGTACAAAATGCGTTAGGAAAATACGTTTTAACATGTGTACCCGTTTACATAATTGTAAAAATAATCTGTTTTGAAATAAAGTAAAATTATTGAATTGAAATAAAGTAAAAAAATCGATATATATATATATATATATATATATATCGAACGAACAATTCATTCGATATTTCACAAGATTATATCTCTCTCATATAACTCTCTCATTCTTCTTCAATATATCTCTCTCATTCTTCAATATACATCAAATATGGGAGAAGATTTGACAACACCAGAATTTTTCACCAACGAGGTACAATATATGTTAATTGATATTTAGGTTTATTAATACTTACTTGTACAAATGAAAGTTATAATTTTTTTTCCTAGGTGTTCAATTCTCGAGAAGAAATAACTGAGTGGGTGCACAATGTGGGACATTCAGTTGGTTGTGTTGTTGTTATGAAAAGATCAAAGGCAAAGCCAAATATAAATGTCTATAAAGTCGTGTTTATGTGTGAACACGGCGGAGTTTACAAAAATAAAACAATTCTCATTCGTCATACGGGAACAAAAAAGTTTGGATGCCTATTTGAGTTGATAGCGGTATTTTCGGCTAAATATAGTTGGTGGACGTTGATGGTGGTATGCGATGCACATAATCATGTTCTTGCACGATATATGGAGGGTCATGCATATGCAATGCGGCTAAATGAAACTGAAGCTCAACTAGTTGAAGATCTATCAGTCCAACATGTCAAGCCACGATACATCTTATCCACGTTAAAGGGTAGACATACGAAAAATGCATCTACGTTAAAAATAATATACAATGAACAACAAACGATGCAGGAAGACCACAAATACAGGTTGTTGTTGTTTTTTTTTTGTTAACAAATATTATGATTTTGAGACTCGTGTTAATGATGAAACAAACGAGTTGGAAGATTTATTCTTCATTCATCCAAGATCATTTGAGCTTTAGCATGCATTCCCACAAGTGTTGGTCATCGATGCCATATATAAAGCAAATAGGTACCTTAAAATGCATGTCTATTATGTTAATGTCAATATTATTATTTTATTAACATTTTTATTTTCTTTAACATTATTATTTTGTTAATTTATTATTCAGGTACGACATGCCTCTTCTTGAGATAGTTGGTGTAACATCGACCAACCTGACATTTTGCATAGCATTTGTTTTCATGCATCAAGAAAAGATATCAAATTATAGTTGGGCGTTAGATTGTCTAAAGTCCAAAATATGCGATAACTTTTACCCATGTGTCATAGTCATAGAGTTGGCTTTGATTAATTCATGCATAGTGATATTTTTGGGTGCTAAACAGTTACTTTGTAGATGACACATCTTTCAAAATATTTTGAAACATTGTAGACCACCGATTCACGAGTCGCACTCATGGAGTACTTTTTGTCAATTATAGTTGCAATTACTTGAATCTCAAAATCAGGAATGGTACACGTACAACTTGGGACAACTTCAAGAAAATTTGCTCGCCTATCCAGGTATTCTTGATATAAGATAGTTTAACCATTGTTACTAAAGATATTGACATATGTTTGTTGTATTTCTTCAGGTGTTATGAATTACTTGAACAATGTATGGTTGACACCATATAAAGAAATGTTTGTATCTGTTTAGGTTGATCAGGTTTTAAACTTTGGAAATCACACAACAAACAGAGTTCAAAGCCAACATTCCAAACTAAAATTATTTTTGGAGACTTCCCAAGCAGACTTACAAAGAATTTTATCTCACATTCATCAAGTAATCTAGTCACAGGACACATCGATTAAAGCAAGTTTTGAACAATGTAGAACTATTAGGAAACACCGATTTTGAAACTCACACTTTCAAAATTTGTGGGGATTTGTTTCATTTTATGCACTTGATATGATATCCACTGAAAATGAACGGTCTTTCCAAACTGGCATATTTTCTGAAAATTGTGGTTGTAAATTGCGTAGAAGTCATGGGTTGCCTTGTGCTCATGAACAAGCACTGTATACATGTCAAGACATACCCATTCCACTTGATGCAATAGATATATTTTGGAAAAAAACTTGATTTTTCACCATGTGTGTCCACACAAGATGACGAGATTGGATGTGATGATGAAGTTCAATTATTCAAAGAAAAATTCAACAAGCAGTCGTCTCATGGTCGTAAAAGCTTACTCAAAAAGTTGAAGGATATAATAATGCCATCAAAACCGTTCGATGAACCCTCGGTTCATAGATACACTCGTGGCCGTCCATCTACAAAGAGTCAAGTTTTGAATAAAAGAATCATTGAAGACCGTAGACGTAGTTGTTCTAACGTGCCAACAATTATTAACTCTGAAGATTTGGGGCATCAAGAATCAGCGAGACATAGTTCCTATTTCCAACGACAACCCACCACCCGACATTCGTATCTTGATCAAATTCTGAGTTTATTTCATCCATACATCATACAAATACAAGATGTATTAGGTGATGGAAATTGTGAATTTCGAGCGATATCTACTTGTCTAGGTGGTCATGAAGACAAATGGGACAATATCCGCAAAGAGTTAATGATTGAACTAACTGAGTATGAACAATATTACTCTTATGTGATTGGCAATGAGTGCTTACGCATTCACGAAGCGCTGAATTTTTTCCAAAAGAGCGTCTTCGCACCAGCTACGCATTGGATTGCTATGCCTGAAATGGGCATTCTAACGGCTTCAATGTTCAATGTCATACTGCATATTCTCAATATGGCAGACAATGTGACATACTTACCGTTTAGGACACAACCTCCGTCGTCATCTCAACACGTGACAATTGCAATAGTGCATGTTAATGGTAACCATTACATAAAGGTGATATTAAATGGAGAATATCCAATGCCCACACTTACGCACCATTAGACACGTTATCGTCTTGAAGATGCAAGTACATGGATTGTCTCGTATCAACATAGATTCAATGTGTATGAAGAATATATACTCTTACTCGTGAATATGTTGATTTAACATGAAAAATCAAAGTTTTTAATATATTGTAATTTATCGTAATACATTTATATACAAATAGATAAAATTATAAAATATGTATTCTTAATATTTTATTAATTAATAATAGTATAAAATTAATTAATTTATATAATTATGGTATACATTAAAAAGTAGAAACATAAAAGATATAATATAAAAATATTTAAAAAGTTGAAGGGTTAAAGGTAAAAAATATTAAAGAGTTAAATATGAAAAATGAAAAATAAAAAAGTTGGATTTAATAAAAACATAAAGGATAAAATATGAAAATACTTGAAAAGTTGAAAGGTAAAAATTAAAACTATTAAATAGTTAAAAATGAAATATTTGGATTTAGTTTATTTTGATGTTTAGTGTTCAGGGTATAAAAAATCAGGGAGAAAAGCCTACGGGTGGGATTGGAAAACTTGAATATAAATCAATCATTTTCGTTTTTCTGGCTCTTTCTATTTCTCTATAGCAGTTATTCGTTGAACTCCATTCTGAAATCGAGATACTAAAATCATAAAAATGAGCGAAAGCGATGACGAAGAGGTACAGGTAGGGTCGAAAGATAAATCGCGTAAATCTAAGCGAAAATCTTCGAAACATGTAGTAAACAATTTAATGCATTCATTGGGGAGCCATATACCCAAAAAAGGCAACAAGTCTAAGACGCAAAATCGTAGGATTCCTGAGGAGGAGGATGATGACGACTCTGAAGTTGAGATGCTTAGTATATCATCCGAGGATGAAGATTCAGGTATTGCTCAAAAGGCAGGGGCCAAGAAGGGGAGTGGTACCAGTGGAGGTGGTGGTAAGGATGATGATACGCTTTGGGAAGGAGGAGAGCCTACTAAATGGAAGCAAGTCAATGAATCTGAGGTAAAATATATGTATATTCATCTTGATGTTGTTTTCCTGCCCAAGTAGGATCATGGGGCTTGTATTCTACATAACTGTTGATGTCATTGGACAGAATTGTATGGAAGTTTAGCATGTCAGTAACTATCACTTTTGCAAATCACACAATTACGTGTTTCTCTCATTCATTTATTAATTATTATCAAGTCTCAATGTGTTGCTGAAGTCGCTCTCCACTCGATCATCTTTATCGTCGTTTCTCTCATATCTGTTATCATTTGTTTGCTGTAATCTACAAAAATTGGGGACTAAGGTTAGCTTCATCATTTATTTGATTGGTCTATCTAAAACTAGGGTATCTACGGTGTGTTATTTTGATGAAAGGATTGATGGGTATGGTTCATCCTCTGTGAATTGCACTTATTACCGCTGATACTTGGTTTGAATTTTGATTACTAGTTGTATTTTTGGTTTGTCCTTTGTGAATTGTGTGTTTTAGAATCAAAGTTTCGTTTCAAGATAATATTGAAAGCTAAATGAGAGGCATTGAGATAAGAACGAAGTTATATGTCTGGAATTTTTAATATAAGGAACTGGTAATAATACACTCAAAAATCAATATCCAGCTAAAATAATTGAGATGAGAATAGTAACTGCCATGCTGACAAATGACAGTAAGCTAATAAAGCAGTAAAAAACATCAAATATAGAATGGTTTGGACAAGGGATTTCTTATAACCGCTGTGTGTTCCTAATTTGGTCCTAACGATTTGAAGTCTAGGCATGGAATTGTACACACACACACAACAGAGATCTTAATCCAATGTACGCAAACTATGAAAAGACCCAAGAAAAAGATAAGCATTTTTGTATGTTTCTTTCCTGCATGTAAAAGTAAAAACTATAATAACCATACAGTAGTAATAATGTTTTGAGCATAGTAAGGCTTTGTGATACTCTATATATTTTCTGAAGATTTTTATTTTGCATAATACGAGGATCAGAAAAAACAGAGATAGTTAGATACATGTTGTACAGTATTCGCTTTAACAAATCATTCATTTTCATTATGAGAAACAGAACTTTCCTGTTTAAATAACCGGCCTCCAGATTCATACCATTTGGGTTTAAGATTCAAATCATAGACAGAGATCATAGGGTTATTGCTGTTGCTGTTCTCTGAAAATACCAATCCATCTACAGCCCCAAAATCTGTAGACCGACCATCAAAGTTCAGTCCTTTTATAAGGAGATTGCAGCTGTAGACAGGAAAAGATGGAGCATTGGAGGTATCTGATGATCATAAGAGTGTAGGTTTCTGATGAGAAAGGAGCATGAGCATCTTTTGTATGAGATACCAACATCTTTGTTTTGCGTGTGCTTTTTGAAATCATAGAGATTTTAGTATTACACGCATCAAAGAATAGTTTGCAGCTCCAATAACTCAAGGAAACAATCATTCCACCCTTCCCATACCCTATTTTCGAGTGTGCGTCCATTTGGTTTGATTTTATTTATAATTATTGTTAACAATAGTAATTACCATTAAGTTTGTTTCATTTCTTCTTCTTTATCCTTACAGAAATCGACAACAGAAATCAACTATGTAGTCAATATATAGCCATGTACTCATTTGGGAGTTTGACTTTTGAATAATCTATTCTCAGAATAATGTGCACTTCGTATGGGGGTTGTCTGAGTTACTTTCTAGCTGTCATTTAACTTCTAATCATTAAAAGTAACCCATCATGCATGTTTGTTTTCTGTATTTTTCACGTAAATCTTGTTTAGTTTTGGAGAATGATTGAATTGCTGAAATCATACCTTTTCTGGCAGCTTGCTCGAAGGGTCCGTGAGATGAGGGAGTCAAAAGCAGCTCCAGTACCTCAAAAGCTTGAGAGGAAACAAACAGCTGCTGCAAAGGGGCTCAACAATTTACAGTCTTTGCCACGTGGCATGGAGTGCATTGATCCTCTAGGACTGGGGTAGATTTCTCCTAATTTGTAATTCTTATTTTGTGCTATCTGCTCTTGAAGTGCCTGGGTCAATTGTTTGGATCAAGTTGACCTTAGGCTGGGAAAAATGTTCGTTTTCATCGTTTAGTGCCTAATCTATGATCTGCAGCTGAATGATTGAAACTATAATAGCTTCCTGTTTTCATTGTGTTCTTTGAGAACTTGATATTTCACCCCAACTTGTTTTGCATGATGGTTCTTGACATCCACCACCAACTCATAATGTTTTGATGTTGATGTCAGGATTTCTTTTGTCAAAAGTGCAGATGGTTGCAAGATTGCTGAATTGTTCTACAACTTGTTAAAGTTTATTACTGATGCTGGCTTGTTTTTATGCTAGGATTATAGACAACAGAACTTTGAGGCTGATTGATGAACGCTCATTAAGTTCACCATCCAAGTCTGAAAAAGTGGATTCGGATCTTCGAGGTACTCACCCTTTAAGAAACGCTGTTGCAAAAGTTCCACTATTTCATCTACCTATTTTATTTGTTTGATAGTTTGTATATTTACAAGTTCATATACTCCATTTAGCATAGTGAATTGTATGGTTATAAGCTACATAAGCAATAAATTGATTTCCTTCTCTAGGAATAGGCTCGATTCCATATCATCACCGCTTGTAATGATCAAGGTTTGTAAGTCCATGATGTAATCTACTATAAGTGAAGTATCTGCCCTAGAAAATTGATGATTTCCTATCATATGATAGAAAGCTTGATTGTTAATTTTTGTACTAACAGGGTATGAATTTTCATGACAACATTAAATCTTAGTTGGAAGTTGGAAAAAGAGAAATGTTTTGGAAGAGGATGATACCCTTATTAAGCAATATCGTGGATATTTATAGGTTAAATTAAATAAACACGAAAAAGAACTTGTAATGAATACATAGATAATGACTAAATAGCCCTATATCCTAACGTTCCTCTCAAATCGGAGCAAACATATTGAAGTTATATAACTTGTGACATATAGGTCAATCGGTGATCCTTGAAGCGTCTTGTCAAAATATCAACATGATCTCTCCGAACACCTAAATTAGTCGATGGAGGTACACGAGAAGTATTAACCACCTTTAGGATGACATAATGGCCTCAACGTCTTTATGCTTCCCACATTCATGAATTTTGTGATAGTTGACTCTTTGAAATGTGCATAATGGACCACTTCTTGCTAGACATTTTGATCAAACTAGCGAAAGGTTCCCTCAACTGTTATCTCATTCGTCATAGCTAGGTTAATTTGCAAATTGTATGAGCCGTTGCCCGGGAATCTAACTCAACCCTTGATACAAAAAAATAACTATTGCTCTTTTGCTTTCCCATATGCCATATGGATAGATTTACTCCATGGTAAATCAATGCCTCATGTTAGACGACCGATATGTCAAAGATATTAGTTGATCATAAAATGCGACAAGACTTTAAGCAACATATAAAGCTAGTACCAAATTTTTTAAGCAACAAATTAAGCTAATAGAATAAATGCTTTGTCAGTATTTGTAAACATACATGTAGAAATGAAAAACGAAATCCCTAGTATGATCCATGTAAAACAAAAACTAAACTGGCTTGAGTTAAAATTACATTTTACGCCAAAAATCAATTGTTGGGTGTGAAGCCCAAAAGTAGTATTCCTTCAACGGTATCGCCACAAACACGAGGATCATGATCCAGTTGCTGGAAAGGGAAGACATGCCATACTAAAGGGATTAGAATCAATTCAAATCATCTTGCAAAAGTTTAGGAAGGGAATCTGCTAGTTTAGAAAGTAGATAATTGTATATCAATTTAAATCAGCTAAATTTGGAGTTCCTTGTCAGTTGTCTACTATAAATTATGTACCTCTTTGTAAATGCTATACAAGTTTTTCTGAGATTTTCAGTTCTGTGTTTATCACACCAATTGTAAGCACGCTTTCACTTCTTTTTGGTAGTGCTAACTGCCATCAATTTCAGGGTTCTCTTTATCCTCTTGAGCAAAATTAAGCCTCAATATATAGAGGACTTTGTGTATCCTATTTAATCAACACTTTGGTTCATTAATTCTTTACTCGTTAATATGTTCTAAGCATGTGACCCTTTGGGTTCACGTTCATAATAACATATTACATTTATTATTATAAACAGTGAGTGGTATATAGCAATACATTATTGCTACCCAAGTGATGAGAACTCGTGATTCAATCATTAATTCTGACATCTTAATTATATCATGTCCTTTTGTCCCAGATGTCCAAATTGACCACAAGACATGTTTTATGTCACTCTCCGTATGTTCAACATCTAGTTTCTTGATTTTCGACTAAACTAAACAAATAATATATTATGATATCGCATGTCGACTATCTGAACATGCATTTCTTCAGCCACGTTCCATCAAGGGCCCATAGTCATCATTGTGTCATACACAGGGACAAATCTTATTTCTAATTGTTAAATATAGTAAAGTAGGGTTCCCCTTTCTTGTTAGTAGTTTGGTATTTGCATCTTTAGGTTTCTTGATGTTGTATATGTTGTGCAATGTCCTTAGAAATAAACAACTACTAGAGGTGATTGCACCTGACTTGGGTATTTACATGGTATCAGACCTTTGACAAAAGCGTAGCCATCATCGTTGCTGCTAGAACTGTCGGAACCCTAGCCGCCGCTGCGCTGGTGCAGGAACCCAAGCCGCTGTTCTCCTTACCCAGATCCGATGCTGTTTGCCGGTTTCCTTGCCCAAATCTGCCGCTGAGGTCGGCTTTAGGTCCAGCGAACTCGTCCAGATCCGTCACTACTGACCTTGTTTTGCTGTGGTCCTCATGGTCCAGATCCCTGTTTTGCTGCTGTGTCCGACTTCCAAAATCAGAATCTAGAAAACTTCTCTCTCTTCTTGTATCCAAACACATGAATCATCATTGTGAGAGGTTTCCAACCTTTTATACAAGAAAACCCTTATTGTTAGGAACCATGTCCAATTTTTTTTCTTCATATACTACAAAGTTCAACAATATCACCTACTGATAAAACGCAAGAGCCGAGTCAACAATCGATGTTGTTATAGAATCAACAAGAAAAGGAAACACAATCCTTTAAATTAGGAAATTATAGAGTTTTGATTTCCTCAAACCTTGTATAATATATATTGGTGTATGTATACTGGATCAAGAAATGCATACTATTGATTTCATGGTATCAGAACATGGTATTGTGTGAGACATTTTTTTTAGTCTAGGTTGCTGTTGACTACCATGTGAGAAATAATCAGTCCAATAGCCTCAGACAACCCTCGTCGGCATAACCAGTAAGTATGCCCACCATCCGACCATCGTGTGCATCCCATGCGCCATCTGCTTGCCGCCCATACGTCGAGGCGTCAGATCTATTATTGGTTCTCTGTTTTGGAAAGCCTTGGTTCATCTGTTTGGGCAAGTCTTATTTTTTTCCCCAGTTTTGGTTTTGGCTCCTCTGTTTGGGTATCAAACCTACAAGTTTGGGCAAGTTTTGTTCTTTTACCTAGGTTATTTGTATTCAAGTCTTTTCGGCTGTTTGCTGGTATAACCTTTGTTGAATTTAGAATACAGTTGGGGACACCATTGCAGTTTGATTGTTTTGATTAGAGCCTTCCATATTTCGGTCGATTTTGCTGCTAATCAATTCCTGGATCTTATTTGGTCGATTCTGTTGGTCACGATCGTTGCAATCTGATACAAGTATAGTTGAGGCCTCCATTGTTTTCCTCTTTGAGATATTTTTGTTGATTGCATCATTTTTCCCGACTATATGGGACAGGACACCCTCTACTATTGCCTTTGCTGAGACATGTAAAACTACTCTGTCTTTTTTTGTCTGCATCCAAATGGGTCATTGATTTTGGTGCTTCGGATCACATGCCGGGTAATCTTAGTCTCTTTTTTGAATTTTACAACTGTTATGGAATTAACAGAAAAAAAGGAAACAGTATCCCCTTTGATTGGAAATTATAGAGATTTGATTCTCCATAACCATGTATAAAGATGTCATTATATTGTAAATTACTCAAAAATTCAATTGGTATCTGTTGGGTTTCTTCTTCAACAGATCGACAGGTTATACCCAAATATTAATAACAAAACAAGAAAGCTTAATACACACTTGGGGCAATTTTCTGTGTTTATTAAACTCTAAACTCGAAACAGGAGATGTCTCTTTCTCCCTATCTAAACTCAAAGCAGAAACATTATTTAAATACTAAAAACAAAACCACCTAACAACTTAGTGGGGGAAAGAAAACAGGAACATGCTCCCATGTTCTCCAAAATATTTGCAAACTACYAAAATACCCGGTCAACCCTTGACCAATTAGAATTATGGTCAATAATCTCCCCCCTAATTCTAATTGTTTCCCTCCAGATTTTTCAAACCAAGCAAGCTCCGCATCTCTACATGTTTGATCCGATGCAATGCTTTAGTCGACACATCTGCACGTTGTTCTTCACCGCTAACATGCTCCACGTTAATCATTTTCTTCTCAACGCATTCCCTTATAAAGTGATATTTCGTGTCGATATGCTTACTTCGACCATGAAATACCGGATTTTTCATAAATGCTATGGCCGATTTGTTGTCAACATACCGCTTAACACACGATGCCTCCCAACCGGTTAAGTCCGACAACAAATTTCTCAACCACACAGCTTGGCACGCCGCCGCTGTTGCAGCCATAAATTATGCTTCACATGAGGATAGAGCGACTGTGTTTTGCTTCTGCGATGTCCAAGTGATCGGATTGTTGGAGAGCTAAAATATTGTACCGGTGGTACCTCTTCCATCATCCAGATCCATCCCATGACTGCTGTCACAGTATCCGATCAGCTGTCCATCGCCTCCCTTCTCATACAGTAAACCAAAAGTCAGCGTTCCTTTTACATATCGAAGTATGTGCTTCACCGCCTTCAAATGGCTTTCCTTTGGTGCGTKCATRTATCGGCTAAGGACCCCAACCGGATAGGCAAGGTCYGGTCTAGTGTGGATCAGATACCTTAACCACCCRATGAGCTGACGGTATTCAGTAGCATTTACCGACGTCCCATTTTCATCCTTCGACAAGCTGAACTTTGATTCCATTGGAGTTTTTGACGAGTTGCAGTCTATCATCCCTGCCGACTGTAGGATTTTCTTTCCGTATCCACTCTGGCTCAACTCGATTCCCTTCCGATGTTGTCGTACCTCTATCCCCAAATAATATGTCAAGCTTCCCAAATCACTCATTTCAAAAACTTGTTGCATCTGTTTTTTGAACCTGATCATTACTCGACCCGGTCACGATCAAATCATCCACATATACACCAACTATGAGAATAGCCCTGTGGCTGTGGAGCTTGTATACTGCTTGCTCATGAGAGCACCTTTGAAAACCCAGATCCTTGAGTGATTTGTCTAGTTTTTCATTCCAAGCTCGTGCTGC